TCCCCGGTACCAAAAAAAACCCAAAAACTCTAAAAAAGGACTCATAGAGCTTCAGGAATACATAAATATATATTTAATGGAAGTTGAGCTTTCCATTTATGGTGTGAATAAACTTGAACCAAATAATTGCTTTATAATATGACATGCTTTCATTCATTCATTTATTTTATTTAAATATAAGACTTTACATTTGTGGAAAAGTTCAGTGAAGATACAGAGTACAGAAACTTTGTATTTATTTGAAGAATATATCAGAATACTTTTTTTAAAAAATTGTGTTTTTTGCCATACAAGAGATTGAACCCAGCACTGCTTTGTCACTGAACTACAGCTCCAGCCCTTTTCACTTTATTTGAGACTATGTTGCTAAGTTTTCCCAGGCTGGCCCTGAATGTGAGATCACCTTGCCTCAGTCTCCCAGGTAGGTGGGATCACAGGCATGCTCCACCACACCAGGCTACATACTTATAATTAATTAAATAACTAAAGTTCCAAATTAAAAGCATACAATCAAAATGGAAGTTTAAAGAGGGTGAAATTGATCAAAAGTTAGGGACAAACTGTATGAATTCAGTAACAAATTGAAATACATATGTGTGTTAGATTTCTGTCACTGTGAAAAAATACCTGACATAAATCCATTTAAGGAGAAAAGATTTATTTTGGCTCATAGTTTCAGAGACAGACTGCCAAGAGATCGGGATAAAATATGCCTTCAAACACATGCCACTCCACAGAACTACTTCCTGCAACCAAGCCCCATCTAGAGTTTTCATCACCATCCTATTAAATAGCATCATCAACTGAGGACCAACTTTTCAACACATGAGCTTTTGGAGGACACTCAAGATCCAAACCATAGCAATGTGGTAAAGTCCTTTCCATACTGTCACAGCCTTCAAGAAATAACCATATGGGCCAGGGATTTAGCTCAGTGGTTCCGGCGCCTGCCTCAAAAGCGCAAGGTCCTGAGTTCGATCCCCGGTACCAAAAAAAAAAAAGAAAGAAATAATCATATGTATAGCATGTTAGTTGTTGTTTTTTGGTACTGGGGATGGATCTCGGGACCTTGAGCTTGCGTGGCAGGCACCGGAACCGCTGAGCTAAATCCCCACCCCCTAGCATGTTAGTTATAGTTGAACATTTCTCCCAGTGCTTGTCCCCAAAGCCTTCTTGTAGCCAAAGGAAAACCTAAATGAACATTCTAGCTTCACTTGTACTTAGTTGACTTCAAGAATCACTAACCATGGAAGTCGGGCAGCCAAGCAACACACTACTGTATTTGCCTCTCCCTAGCTGGATGCAGATGACACCTCTGACTGTTGCTTTTCACTGTCTTCCCATTCTCCAGGGGGAAAAATAAGGCCCTTTGAATCTTATGATTAAATGCTAGACCACCTCATCCTGAGAAAAGGAAATAAAAAGACACACTCACCTATCAGTAGCTTTTCAATAGAATTACAGAACCCAGGACATCTGATGTTCTGCATATAACATCAAAGTGTGGTCCAAGGATTTGCTAATCTTAATTTTCAGGGAAACAATGTGTTTGTCCAAACTAAAAAAAAAAGACTATCACCTCTGCCATCTTTCACCCCTGCCCCTTCTTCCCTTTACTATAACAGCCTTTTTCACCCCTAAATTTCCTAAGATGGGGCTCTGAGTCAATAGAATACCCATCTTCTCTGGGAAAGCCTGAACAAAACTGACTTTCTTTTCCTGACTCTCATGACTTGAGCATTCATTGCCAAGTGGTATTTGAATGGATTTAGGTCTGGTAACAGTTCAAAATTAATGCCCTCTCTCAAACTCCCAGTAAAATCATGAGCCTTATTATTATTATTATTTTTTTTTGTACCAGGGATTGAACTTGGGACCTTGAACTTTTGAGCCAGGTGGTGGAACCACTGAGCTAAATCCCTGGCCCATGAACCTTATTTTTTTACAATCATAGTTAAGGAGTTTTTCTGGCTTCGCAGAGATAAAATTATCATAGTCATGGAAAAAAAATTTTTTTTTAGAATATCCTGGAAAAACTTTATTGGAAAAACAAAAAGGATGTCCTTTGCCTGAAAGATGACTGCTTTGAAATTGTCTTGATAGAGATGCTTTATATTCTTTCTTATGTTCTGTCTCCCTTATAGTCTTCAGTGCTTCTTTGAGTTGTTTTTTAATATGTAAACCATGAATATTTTTATTTTATATCCTTTTTGGACTTTCATTGTCTGTTCTTCAATTTGCCTTAGACGTTCCATTGGCTCTTCCTTTTCACGTTCTATTCTTTCCTTTTCCTTTTCTGCTATTTCTCTTTTCTTCTTTTCATTCTCTAACTGTGCCCTTTCCAACTGCTTCTGGTGTTTCTCCTGCCTAGCCTGAGCCTTCCATCTGTTGCACTTCAATAGTATCAGGCTTCCTCCTTTGCATGTATAGCTCATGGTTTCCCATACATAAGGCCAAAATCTGCTTGATTCTCAAACAGGTGCATAAAAAACAAGATCAGGTGCCTTTTTGTCTATTGGCTTAATAACAAATTTTTGTAATTAAATGAAATATTTCTGATTTCACTCCAAGGAAAGCCAATTTTTGGTGTTAACTTGTCATCATGCTCATAAATATTCAGACCCAAACCATCAACACCTAGCCACAGTTCAGTACCCTTTTATTTCAAAATAGTTGACACCATACATTTCTAGATCTTGGGCAATCTTCAAGTATTCCATCATTGAATCTTCCCTTAGCATTCCCCTATGTTCTTCATGCCAGTTTTGTATTCTTTCTTCCCATTGTTTTTTTGTCAGTTTGTGTTGTTCCAAAACATGCTGGGGTAGTAGTCTATCATTAGCCAGATAGCCTGGTTTATGAATCTCTTTATTATAATCTTGGACAGCATAGGAAGCCAAAAGAACTGCAGTTTCTGGATGGCTTCTTTAACTTGAAAGAAGAAAAGTCTTTGGGTTATTTCTTGAATTAATTCTTCAGGAAAGAATTTAGCTCTAAATTTGAACTGTAAGGGATTCTCTTTTTTAACATCTTGCTGTGTCACCTTTTTTACTTAGTTTAAGCCATGTAGAATAACCTTTGCTGTCAACGTACTGCAGCCCAAAAAACCAGACCTCACGCAAACCAACTGTTTTCACCACCTGGTCAAAAAGTTGTTTCCCAGTTGTATTGGGCTGGATGGCAAATTCCAACTCAGCATCCACTCTAGTTACTCTTACATTGATTGGTTTCGGCATTTTCTTTCTCTTTTTGTTAGTCTTTAAAAAAAAAAAATCTTCACGTATATAAATCCTGTTGTCACCTCCGAGAGCGGCGGCTCCTGCCCGCCCTCCGAGCGGCTGGGAGCGAGAGTCGAGGGTACGAGCCCAGGACCACGAGAGAGGAGAATGGCCGCCGCCGCCAGCTCCGCAATATGGCCGCCCGTCGAGGGGGAGGGGGGAGGGGAAAGGCGGGTCTGACCCCTTTGCTGGGTGGCCGGCCTCGCGCAGGCCCGAATATTTTTCTCTTCAAAATTGTCCAAAAGTTAATCATAATTTTCCATAGGCAAATTTGAATATAATCTCTTATGTCTATAGAAATTTTAGCCTGTGCTTGCAGATAATGGGAAATTGGCACTTAGGAATTTTTTGTCTAGGACTGAAAAATCTGAACAGCTCAACCACAACTGGAGTTATTCAATAGATAGGATTAAATGTTAGAGAGAAAGAAATATTAGAGAAAGGAATTGGAGCTCGTGAGTAGGAAGAATATTTTCCAAGAGCTTGGGCGAGCAAAGAAATAATGGAGTGGTTTGCTGGCTAAATGAGGACTTTAAAAAAGCTTTTACGTAAATAAAATCGGATAATACCAGCATGCTTGTATGCTGATAGGAAAAATCCAGCAGAGAGGGAGAAAATGTTGGTGTAGAAGAGAAAAGGGTAACTGTTGAGTAATATGATTACTGAATAGGGAAGTGTAAGTGGGACCAATTTTCACAAGAGGTGGGAACGCCTTTTGTACAGGATAGCTCCTCATTCCATGGGGAAAGCCAAGATTGTGGAGTGGGAAGGACTTGGTAGATGGAAAAATCGTGTTGGAAGATGTTCCGTTCTGCATGCTTCCATTTTCTCAAAGAGGTGAGATGGTTATCTTAGTGTTGAAATTTTGGAGTCAATTTTCCAAAATATGAAAAACATTTATTTTTATTTTATTTATTTATTTGGGGGGGGAGTGTTTGAGACAGGGTCTCGCTCTATAGTTCAGGCTGGCCTTGAACTCACAGCAGTCTTCCTGCCTCAGCCCCATCCCCAAGTGCTGGGATTACAGAAAAAATGGGGTTTCCATTTTCAAGGGTACCTTCTAGCACTTGCTGAATTTTTTTAGCCTGCCTTTCATATCTGAAATTCTGTGCATTCTTTTTTTAGCTCTATTCACTGCCACTTCTGTTTACTTGTTTTCCTTTATCTTGTCTCCTTTTCTTTCTCTGTATTTCATTGATGTCTAATGCCCTTTCTGCAGCTCCTAATTAAAATCTAAGACAATGTACACAATAAGTGAATTGAAAATACAGCATTTAAGGATAATAGTTTTCAGTGATGAGATTTTTGAACAAATTATATAGATTATGACATGAATCTGATGTAACTTACTAAATTATCTCACAGTGTAATATAGATTTCTCTGTTCATCCAAGCAAGTGATTTTTTAACCAAACGCTTTCTGGTTTTAAATTTAGATATTTGTTATTAATATCTAATATTATTTGTAACATCCTACAATATGTATATTACAGATACAATTTCAAATTTTGTCATTTTTGTGTCCATGATTTGGCTAAGAATACAGATATTTCATGAATTCTTTAAATGTTTCTCTCTTGCAGGATGTGGAATTTAATCTGAAAACATTTCTAATATTTTAAAATACTTTCCTGTTCTCTTTTTTACCCCCTGGAGCCAATTTTTAGAAGTTACTTTTTGGGATAATGCCCACAATTCAAATTTCTCTTATTTCTTACGAACATGGAAGACTTACAGGTATACTATTTTTATGTACTAATTTCATGCGTGAACTTTACAGTACCACAAGGTACACAAATATTTGATCAAATATTATTTCTGGATGCATCTGTGAGGGGGGTTTCTGGGCAAGATTTAGCATTAAAAAGGTAAACTAAGTAAAACATATTGCCCTTTCCAATGTGGGAATTGGGCATCTCCCAATCTTTAGAAGGCCTGAATAGAAAAAGGTAGAAGAAAGGAAAATTCTCTCTCTCTCTCTCTCTCTCTCTCTCTCTCTGTCTGTGTGTGTGTGTGTGTGTTTTCAAGCTGGGACCTTGATCTTTTCTTGCTTTCAGACTGGAATTAATATGAACACCTGGTATCTTCACACACAAGTTCCTTCATCTTTTTTATTGTATATTTTTCATCATATAATTTTTATTCAGTTATATGCTTTTTAGTTATAAAATAAAAACTTTTGGTAGCTTAAGGATATTAAGTCTTTATCTGTTATCAAGATAAAACATTCTACTTTGCTCCCCCCCCTTTTGTCATGGCTTTCCTGATATGCAGAAGGATAATTTATTTATTTTTTTTTTGGTACTGGGGATTGAACTCTGGACATTGTGCTTGCTAGGCAGGTAGCAGAACCACTGAGCTAAATCCCCGGCCCCCAGAAGGATAATTTTAATGTATCTAAGTTTATCCTTTTTATGTGTCTAAATTTCTCCCCTTGTTGTCATGTCTAGAAAGGCTTTTCTTCACAGAATATCGAGGAAATACTCATCCATATATGATTATAGTATTTTTATGTTTTCATCTTTTCAATGAAATCTTAAATTTACATGAATATCTCTAATATAACATTGGAAGTAAGGATGTAACTTCTTCCTTCAAAAAAAGCTAGCCAGTTATCCCATCAGTTCTCAAAAAATTAATCTTTTCCAAATCTATTTGAAATGTCACCATAATCATCTATTAATATGTTATGCAACCGAACATAATTTGCCAAAGATTTAAAAACTAAATGCACTAAAAAAGTGTAATTGTGTCAAAGTAATTTTCTATGATCATCACATTCACAAAACAAGCCATTTAATAGTTTGTTAATTTCACAGCACCAGAGATGGTGTGATTTCCCCAGTTATGTAAATGAGTAATGGCTAGAACTTTCATTTATGGGTTGAATAAAAACTTTGAGAAGAAAATGTGTAGTATGAACAAGCAGAATTATGATGGAGAAGGAGAGGCAGAAACAAAGAGCGAGATCAGGGTCTTGTTAAGAGTACAAAAATTGGGCTCGGGATTTAGCTCAGTGGTTCCACCTCCTGCCTCGCAAGTGCAGGGTCCTGAATTTGATCCCCGGTACCAAAAAAAAAAGTACAAAAATCATAGAACATTCTAACTGGTATCTTTTCACATCTTAATAGTATAAAAGGACCTTGGTTCAAATGGGGCAAGAACCCAAGAGTCTAATTTCCAGAGCAGTTACTTTCTATCCTTTCCTTTGTGGGGATTATTTATCTAATTTGAAACATATTCAGCAATTGTTTCCCCTGCATTTCTGTTGATCCTATGTTTGCTGATAAAATCAAGAAGCCTTTTTGCTAAGATGAGATGAAAAGCAGATAATAATGATAAGGGACTAAAACAAATGCGTTTCTTTTTTTCTTTTTTTTTTTTTTGGTACCCAGGATCCAACTCGGAACCTGGCGCTTGTGAGGCAGGCGCCAGAACCAGTGAGCTAAATCCCCAGCCCCCAAATGCATTTCTTTAAAAAGTAGGACAAGCTGATGAAAAGATTTTGGTGAATATAAGTGGTATTGAAAATATGATCCTGGGAAATCATCAAGTGAGAATCTAGCTGGCACTGAAGAGGATGCACTAGGCTTTCTGTGTTGAATGTGGCTTTCTTGAAAGTTGAGAAATGTCTCCATATCGGCCTCAACCCTCTGGCAATGATACTGTGCAAAGAGCGGGACCTGAACTTTTTTTTGGTATTTTTTCTTTTGTGCAGAATTTATTGTAGCAATCTTCATTGAGGAAACCTTGGGACATTGGGCATGGTGGAGTATGCCTGTAATCCCAGCACTTGGGAGGCTGAGGCAGGAGGAACACCATGAGTTCAAGGCCTGCTTGAGCTACATAGTGAGTTCAAGGCCAGCCTGAACTACATAGCGAGACCGTGTCTTAAAAAAAAATTTGTTTAAAAAGAGAAACCCTGGGAAACATAAGGAATGAAGTACATATATATCATATTTCTCCAATATTTCCCATTCAGAAAGATGCTAAATTTAGAACACATTATACGCCTTTTATACCTAACAATAATGATGCTTTACTATTGTTTTTGTCACTCATACATGAGGGTATATAATGAGTTACTCAGTAACAAGAGCAAAAAGTGAGGCATACTGGTTCACACCTGTAATCCCAGCACTCCAGTACTGAAGCAGGCATATTGAAGCGAGATCCAGGTCAGCCTGGGGTATGTAGCGAGTTCAAGGCCAGCCTGAACTATATAGTGAGAACTCGTCTCAAAAACAACAAGAACAAAAGCAAAAATAGATGATATTCAACATATAAAAATGAAATTGTGTGCATTCATTTCAGGTTGGAACCCAGAAAGCAGTGACATCTGAAATCAACCTTGATTGGGTCAATGAGCATCAGCTAAGGTGCTTAGAAGAAATGTTAATTGTTATGGGTGAAAATGATAGTGCCTGGTGCAGAAACCAAGAGGAATTGTCATCTGAATGAAAACATCGAGAAAGGTACATTTTCTTTGTCTATTTTGCAAGGTTTACTCACTTCCCCCCCGACAGAGAGGTACAGGGGAAAGAATGTGGGCTTTTCTCATGAGGAGAATACCCAGTCCTCCTGTGCTCTCAGCGCCTGTGGTACTCAGGTGTCTGATCAGAGTCCTGAACCTCCTAGGTGACTGTGCACTCTCTGTAGACTCCAGTGCTGGCCAGAGTGCTGCCAAGGCAGGCCAGAGGGAATCCCTGCCCCACACGGATCTGACCAGGTTTCTCCTGCCCCACTTTCCCCAGGCGCTGTCTGCTAACCCTGGCCTATCTGAAGGAAGAATCCTGGTAATCTTAGTGATCCAATCAGAATCCTCTTCACTCCAGAAATTCCTCCTTAGTAATTTTCCATCCACCGAGCCCTACTGTGCTGCTTGGCTCTAAATCCTCACCTGCCCAGTCTATATTCAGAGTTGATCCCAGGTTGATAATGAGGTCTCTTTTCCCCTATTGCAATAGTCCTGAATCAAATCAGCTTTTCGTCATTTAACTGCCATCCAGCTCTGGTTCTCTGCCGCAGACCAGCTGCAGTCAATGCAGGGTAGGAAGGGGAGAGGTCCCGGCCGGCGAGTGAGAAAAGAACCTTCGCAAGCAATGTGCAGGTTCCCTCTGAGAAGTCTCAGGGTCTGATTTATTTTTATATCTTTAAGCAATAGCTTGGAGGCATTGGGCAGAACATGTTTACATTTTAGGTTGCCTTAGCAATTTCTATAGAAATAAAGGTTATTTTTTACTAAACAAAGTATATTTTTCCTAAGCTGATTCATTTCATTGAACATCATGAATACATTTAAAAATTACAATTGTCCCCTTATTTACCCACACCTAAGCAGAACAGAAAGTAACTTAATCAAAATCTCTATATCAGCGGGGATACAAGCAAGATTTAGTTAATTAAATGTCAAACTTGTGGTCGTCAGCTGGCCCTTGAGAAACTGCACAATGGTTAATATAGTTTGCTATTAGCTCTCTATTTTTTCTATACCTCTATTCATCTTGCTTAAATGTTATTTGGGTTCATGGTCCATGAGCAGGAAATGTTTACAGTACTTTGAGAAAAGCTGAGTAACTTGCCTCCTTAGTGTATTTATCTGTCTTAACTTTCTTTCTATTTCCCATTTTCCACTGTGTCTTACATCTAAAATCTGTCCTTTCAATCTCTTTATAAGACCCCTTTAGTAAAAAGAAAGTCATCAATAGAAGAAAGGAGTTACAGTGTCAGGAAAACAGAGGGAGTTTTAGGAGGGGTTTCTTTAGAAGTGGGTGTGACAATAGAACTAAGAGAAACAGGAATTTGGGACTTTTGAGCCAGATCAGATTTCAATACAACATTGCCAATTTGCATCATGGAGAATATGTTGTTAGTCACAAATACAATGATTCCTGTGACCAGAGTAACAATTGTAAACATTAGGGCAAGAAAAAATAAAACATGAGGGTATGATGTGTTCCACCCTCCTTTTCCCCCAGCTGGAACTTTGTCAAGCAGCATTGGAGGTTGGTTGGGCTTCGCCAGTTCTCCTTGACCAGTTTATTTTTGTTGTTGCTTTAATTTGTCAAACAAGTTTTAATTAGCTAGAGGTTTGGAATGTCAGTTTAGGAGACCACGTGTCAAATTTTCTGGTGAGACAGACTAAGGACCACAAACTCACACAACTGTTGTACAGTGCTCATGCTATCGGGCTTTGCCTTTGCAGGGCTGCTGCACTGAGCCTTCAGTGTTGTCTTGTTCATCGCAGAAAAGAAGGAGAGATCCAATGCTAAACTAACTTTTCTCAGTGAATCCATTCAGCTGAACCCGTGACCCAGGAGAACACTGCCATGAGATTTGACCTGGAGAATCTGGGACATGCATGAACAATGTCCCACTCTCACTGCAGATGACAGCTCATTCTAGAGGAACAGTACAGGGCTGCTTTTTGTGTTTTGATTTGAATTAGAAAACCATGTAAGTTTCTAGTTTGGGGTTTATGTCCCCTTGTTTTGCTTGGAGTGAAAAATGATTTAAATGCAGAGGAACATAGTCCAAAGATGTGAGGGACTAAATTAAATGAAATTTAGCATAAAATTAAGGAGATAATGATAAAATTATTGTCTTACAATTCTGTCTTAGGGCTGAAATTTTTTGTACTTCCTAAAATCATGACTAGGGCAAAAGTAGCCCTTTTAAGGAATAGCATTTATGTCAGCTGTGGTCATTTGGAGTGTTTTGGCTCAGAATGTCCTTATGTTTTCAAAGCCACCCCTTGCCAGATCCATGGATAGAGGTCTTCCCATCACAGAAGACTATGGCAAGGGAAGATCCCATCCTTCCTTACCTTTTCTTTCTCCGAAGTTCAATGGATGTATGCCACTAATTCTCCCAAAACAACTCTACATTTCCTGGGTAAGTTGTAACCACTTGGCTCCTCTTCGAAGCTGAGTAAAGCTTGTCTCAGAAAAATTAAAGAGCTACTAAGTGAGAAGCTTAACTGGCAAGGATGTCCACATTATGCAAATAATGCTCTTTTGCCAAGACTTCACCTGCAGTTCAACGTTGGAATGAAAGGAAAACCTAAATGATCTCTCTGGCTTCATTTTCATTTAGTTGGGTTTGAAAAGCACTAATTAACCTTTGGGTCGGATTTCTGCACTTTGATATGTTAATCATTTAAGAAATATTTGTCTAAAACTGGTAATGGAAGATTAATTAGGCCTAAATGTATCTAATCTCTCTCCTCCCCTTCAAGGCTGAAGACACTGAGTAACTGAATTGTTCCCAAGATTTAAAGAGCATCATGATCTTCTCTGTTGGATCTTTCCAGGGCTTTTTACTGACTTCTCAAGGAAGAAGATCCATGATCATTGTACTTCCTAGGGTCTGCTTTTAGTCAGGTACGGGAAACTGAGAGAAAGCTTCTTTCTGCATTTGCTGTTCATGAGATGCTCTCTGGTAGAAGCCCAAAGCGGCAATTTTGGGGTGACATCTTCCAATCTCCTACAGTCATACCTTGGAGTGATGTGTCCTAAGCCCAGAACTTCCAAGAGTGTCCCTTACTTCCCTAGTACCACCTCTAATCTCACTGATACCACACACCTGCACTCACCTCTGCCTGCTGTCAGATTGTATCTTAAGTCCTTTGTGGGGCACAATCCACCCCCCCTCCAGGACCTGGCCCCTGAGACCTACCTGGACAGCTAAATCAGGCAGGAGGAGCCTCAGCATAAGAAGCTAAGTGGTCAGGCTATCCCTGCTCAAGCCACCAGAGGCACCTTACCCATCCCCATAGCCCCAGCCCTGGACACCAACAGCAACCCTGCTCTTCTCATCTGCCAGGCTCCTCTCGGTGGGTAATGATGCTTTCACCCAAAAGGTCTGCATTTGTATTTATGATATTCGATTTTCAGGAATAAAGTAAGAGGAATTTTCCCATGTGCCTTTTTTCCAGGACATTTTACTAACTCCTGTTCTAGTCACCCACAAAGCAAATCTGCAGAACTAGAGGAAAAAGATGCCCTGGGAGTAAGGAAGGCTGCCCTGAGATGCCTGCAGGCGGAGCTGGGAATTCCCCAGGAGCAGGTACCCACATCTACCTGGAAACAGATGTGCCAGCAGAAATCCAGAGATGCCAGTAGGGACCGGATTTTTGCCCATAGTCTCAGCAAAGCACTGTCATAAAGAGGGGTGGAGCTATTACAAATTTACTTTGACCTAGGCAGGGTTGAGTCTAGGAATCTGGCTTTCCGTGAACTGCCTAAAAGATCATTGCAAGAAAAAAAAAGATCATTGCTTTCTGTGAAATGCCTAAAAGATCATTGCATTAAAAAGAATGTTAATGGGCCAGGGATTTAGCTCAGTGGTTCTGTCGCCTGCCTCTCAAATTCAATCCCTGGTACCAAAAAAAAAAAGAGAATGTTAATGATCATCCAGGCACGGTGGTGCATTCTGTAATCCCAGCACTCTGCGAGACAGAGGAAGAAGAATTTCAAGTTTGATCCCAGCCTGGGCAACTTCCTAACTTAGTGAGACCCTGTCTCAAAATAAAACAGGCCTGAGGATGTAGCTCAATGTGACTACCCTGAGTTCAATCCCCATTACTGCCAAAATAAATGAAATAAAAAAATAAAATTTTATTTTTATAATAATAAAATATAATAAAATTTTATTATATAATAAAATACTATTTATTTTTAGTGTCTAGCATCAGCTGTGAATATGAGTTATCCATTTGTTAGCTTTATTCATTAAGGCAAGTATTTGAGAGAAAATAGGTATTTTCCTCACAAAGTTGATTGGTTTCAGTAGGATTTTCTGTTGTGTTTGGGGGTGTGTGGTAGAGGGTCAGTTTTTCACTTGATCTTAGCCAAAAGGCTGAGAAGCAATGGGTCAGTTTTTCAAAATAGGATGCAAACAAGTTTATTGAATCAAAAAAAACCAAAACCAGTTTATTATTCAGATTTGAATCCACAAGGACCTCCTTAGCTAAAATTAAGGTTTGAGTGATTAACAAATATGTTTATATTCTCTGTTTTTCTACATATTCTGTATTGTAAACACCAGAATTATTTTCATGGCATCAATTTCTGCCCCAGGTTTCTCCAGAGGACATTGTGTTTAGGACAAGATATCAGTATAAGGCAAAATCTGATCCAGTTTGGGGAGAACATGAAATTTGCTACTTTCTGATTGTGAGGAAGGATGTTATTTGAAATCCAGATCCCAGTGAAGTTCTTCATCCTCCAGTTCCAGGAGGGACTGGAGGAGCTCCTGGAAAGGGGGGTCAGGGGCAAAGCAGGAATCATCCTTTGGCCAAGAACAATCGCAGAGAAGTTTCTCTACAAGTGGTGGCCTCACTTAGATGATGTGACCCAGTTTGTGGAGGTTCATAAAATGTACAGAATGTGAGAAGCAGTGAGAAGAAGCATCAGTCATAAACTGTGCTCCAGACAGACAGGAAGGGAGACCCAGGACTTACACTCATTATACCTCTTGATCAAAAAAGGGGGAAACGGGGCTGGGGATTTAGCTCAGTGGCCCTGCGCCTGCCTCCCAAGCTCAAGGTCCTGAGTTTGATCTCCAGTACCAAAAAAAAAAAAGGAAGAAAAAGGCACTTGATAGATAATTGTCTATAAATCACTGCTCTGACACCTTTAGTCTACTGTATCGTATTATCTTAATTTTTGCCTTTTGCCTTATTTCTATATTTTTCACCTGCCAAGTTGCAGGAAGGGAATTCATTATTTTCCCATACACAATTTCTGAAAAGTTTTAAAGATTATTTTAAAAACAGGGAAAAAAGAAGAGAAATATCCCACAAGTAGAGATTTGAAATGAGTGTTGTAATAGGTAAACATTGCATCACACCTTTGGACAACCCTCATATGAGTCTCCAGGCCATTTAGTGGCCTCTGAGTCTTTGTTGGAAAAAAAATCAGGAGGAAGGCAAATCCAACAGAGTCTATTTGTCAAGCACCAAAATTTGATGAGACCTGAAATACCTGTTACCCTTACTTGTTCTGCTCTGACCTTGTTCTGTAAGAACCACATTAACTGTCTTCCAAGAACTCCTGTTTTCACTAATTTGTTAAGTATTTCTACATAATACACAATAGTCAGTCATAATATGTATTAATTGAAGAAATAAAGGATCAGTTAGACAAGTATAAAGCATAATTTCTAAAAGTAGTTTCCTTCACAGAGTAATATAGTATTTTCACTTATTCAAAAAATACCCCAAAGTCCCATCTGTGGTTAGCTGTTTATTTTCCTTTCCTTTTCCAGAGGGAGGCTGGATCATCATTCTTGGGAAAATTGTCTTTCATCACATTTTATTAAATTCAGCCCTGTATCTGGAAAGCAATGGTGTGTTTTTCAGTCTGTTCCCACACTCACAGGCCATGCTCCTGAACTCAACAGTTCACCCAGCAAAGTCACCTCTCAGCCTCCAGGGCAACTCTGCCGCTCCAGCACCTTACCTGTTGCAACAACAGTGGCCCCAGGACTGATAGATCAGATCAATAATGGGACTTGGGGTTAAGTAAACTTGGGGAGCTAAACAAAATCCATCATAGCATATTGCCTTGAGATTCCTCAGAATCATACATATGCCAATATGAAATGTGGAGTTGCAAGAGTTCATTATGTAGTAATGTATTCACTAGTTCCCAGACTGATTTGGCCACCAGATTTCTCTGAAATCAAGAGTTTCAAGGTTGGGGCTGGGGACATAGCTCAGGAGTAAAGTGCTGGCATACCATGCTTGAGTCCCTGGATTCAATCCTCAGGAACACACACACACACAGAGTCAAGGTTACTTTGGTGTCACCTTAGAAAGAGCACCTTTTGGAAAATGCTGTCTTATCCACACATTTCTGAACACAAACGCTCATGTGCCAACTGAGGTGAGGGTTTCTCCTATCTTTCACTGCAGCCACTCACACACATCCACAGTGTGGGGCAATTCTCTTTTTAGATTTGCTTCCAATTACATTCTCTTCATATATTTCCCACACCCACAAGGCATTTCCTAAAGCCAAATCTCTGTCTTTCCTAATCATATAACCACATTTCTACAAGGAGATGAAATCAGCTGTGTTAGTTGGCTGTGGCATTCTCACGCAACCAACATCAGAACCTAAAGATGTGTGTGGATTCTCCCTTGAGAGCTCCTGTGCGTGCACAGCCAAATGTAATGAGAGATTCTCAGTGATCAGCATCCTAAAGGAGACCCAAGATGAGTGTGAACTACAAGACAATTCAACACAACCCTGAGAACGCAGTCCTTGGGGTGATGGTGGGGGCTTGGCTAAGAATTGTGACTTATTCTTTTAAAAAAATTTCTTTAGCTGGGCATGGTGTCATGTGCATGTAATCCTAGCACTCTGGAGCCTGAGGTAGGAGGATCACTGTCAATTTCAGGCAAGCTTGCACTACCTAGTGAGTTCAAGACCAGCCTGGGCTATTTAGTGAGGTCAAGGCCAGCCAGAACTAAATAGCAAGATCCTGTCTCAAAACAACCACAACAAAAAAATTATATGATATTCTCCACACAAAAATGAAATTATGCACATCCATTTCAGGTTGGAACCCAGAAACCAAGCTTGATTGGATCAGTGAGCATCAACAACAGCACTTAGAAGAAATATTGATTGTCATGGATGAAAATGATAAGGTGCTTGGTGCAGAAACCTAAAGAAAATGTCACCTGTCTTTGTTACTTTTCTTATCGCTGAGACAAGATACCCAACATCCAAAATTAAAGGAGGAAAGGTTTATTTCACCTCACAGTTTGTAGAAGTTTCAGTCCATAATCAGCTGGCTGAAGGTGGGGTAGTATGGCAGAGGGGCATCACAGAGGAGAAACAGTTCATGGCAGAGAGGGCAGGCAGAAAGCAGCCAGCAGTGAAGTAGCAAACAGCTAGCAACAACAGCAGCCTTCTTTCTGTCCCTTATATTCTATTCAGGGTACTCTCTTCTAGGGCAGGGAGCACTCACAGCCAGATTGGGGGACCCTTAATCCTAGCCTCGCACCATGAATCAATCCTAGCATCATACATTCTAGATTCAGCCACTTCTGAAAAGCCCCCACTTAAGACCACCACATGAGGCTTTAGGGGGACATCTAGATACAAGCCATAACACTGTTCAAATGAAAACATCGAGAAAGGTACATTTTCTTTGTCTATTTTGCAAGGTTTACTCACTTCCCCCCCGACAGAGAAGTACAGGGGAAAGAATGTGGGCTTTTCTCATGAGGAGAATACCCAGTCCTCCTGTGCTCTCAGCGCCTGTGGTACTCAGGTGTCTGATCAGAGTTCTGAACCTCCTAGGTGACTGTGCACTCTCTGTAGACTCCAGTGCTGGCCAGAGTGCTGCCAAGGCAGGCCAGAGGGAATCCCTGCCCCACACGGATCTGACCAGGTTTCTCCTGCCCCACTTTCCCCAGGCGCTGTCTGCTAACCCTGGCCTATCTGAAGGAAGAATCCTGGTAATCTTAGTGATCCAATCAGAATCCTCTTCACTCCAGAAATTCCTCCTTAGTAATTTTCCATCCACCGAGCCCTACTGTGCTGCTTGGCTCTAAATCCTCACCTGCCCAGTCTATATTCAGAGTTGATCCCAGGTTGATAATGAGGTCTCTTTTCCCCTATTGCAATAGTCCTGAATCAAATCAGCTTTTTGTCATTTAACTGCCGTCCAGCTCTGGTTCTCCTTGACTAGTTTATTTTTGTTGTTGCTTTAATTTGTCAAACAAGTTTTAATTAGCTAGGGGTTCAGAATGTCAGTTTAGGCACCCTGGGCTGCTGTCAGGGCTCGCCATGGTTCACACACCCAGTCATCCCAGACCCGTGCAGCAGCACTTGACTTCTTTCCTTCCTCAACCTTAGAACAAATAAGAATTCAAACATGCCCAGATATAAAGGCTCAGCAGAGTGAAGTCTATATTCCAAAAAAAAACCCAAAACATCTTTTATTTGTGCTACTGTGATTGAACTCCAAGGCCTTTGCCGTGAGTTACAACCCCTTTTTTACATTTTTTAAAATTTTGAGACAGGGTTTCACTAAGTTGCCAAGCTGGGCTACAACTTGAGATCTTCCTGCCTCATGACTTCCCGAGTTTTGAGATTACAGGCTTCATTCTCCATGCCCAGCTTCAAAAAATCATTTCTTGAGGTCTGCCCACACCCTACCAAGGTCCCCAGTCGCGCGGAACACACGCTGAATCAGCCAGCTGCAGACAGGCAGGTCTGGGCACGCCCTACCGAGGTCCTGAGTTGTGCGGAAGACACCGAATCACCCCGCTGCAGACAGGCAGCCACCTGATTCCACACTACAAAGACGCAGAGGACACGAGACCACCAGACCAAGGCACTGTTCCCGGCCCAGAGGTAGGGGCTTCTGAGCCACCGTCCCACTGCTCCTGGTCCAGAAGAAGGGGCTTCCCGGTCACCATCCCTCCCGCTGCTCCCAGCCCAGAGG